GCGTCGGGAACCGCGTCGCTGCGGCACGGCTACGCGTAACGGAGGCCGTGCCTTAGTTTAGGGTTTAGGGTTTAGGGTTTAGAGTTCAGGGTTTAGGGTTTAGGGTTTGGGATGGGTCTTATATACATTTGGGACTTGGAGTTTGGGGTTGGGATTTAGGGTTTAGGGTTTGAAGGGGTTTATATGGGCAGTTCTCTGAATCAGGGCCTCCTTTCGGGTTCCTTTAAGGGATCTATATTGGGTTTGTATAAGGTTACAATAGGGGTTCTTTAGGGGTAGTTCTTTGAACTGATGCCCCTTTTGTGATCCTTTCTGCAAGGGTGCCGTACTACCTTAAACTACCAAAGCTTCCCTTTTCTGTACGGTCCTTATAAATCAGTTCCAAGGTTTATAGCAAAACCTACAGAGAAGTCGGCTATGGTAGTTGAATGTAGGGTCTTGGGGGTTGTGGTTTGTTTTGATTTAGGGTTGAGGGGTTTGAGGTTACATAGTCATATAAGCGGGTCCTTTCGTGCGCAAGAGAGTCTGGGTTGAGGGGTTTTTAGGTTCAGAGCCTTAGATCTCGTTCTCATACCTTAAACCCTAAACCCTAAGCCACCAACCCCTGCATAGAAAACCTTCCTGACTGAAACCCAAAACTGCCGAGCCCTGTATCCGCAGATAACATTGGGCAAGCCACATCTCACAGCACGAAGCCCGAACGCCGAAGCCCTAAGCCCATAAGTGCTTGGACCACCGCCCCGTGATTCCCACACATCAGCCCCGACTAGCTTGGAAACCGCAGAAACTGCATCATGAGAAGCCCATGTGACCAGGGTTTAGGGTTTAGGGTTTAGGGGACCAGCCCAGGAAGTCTGAAGCCAGCGGTGCTGAGGCAGGATGGCTGAAGTGAGCATTTTAATGGGGCATCTCATCACTGACTATTTGACGTCTTTTCTTTTGGTGGGTCCTCATAGTATCAGGCTTCTGTTGAAGTTTAGTATGAGGCATCTATGTAAATTCAAAGCTGCAGCCGAAGCCCTTAACCCTAAACCCCCAAACCCCTAATCCCTAAACCCTAAACCCTAAACCCTAAACCCTAAACCCCTAAACCCCTAAACCCCCAAACCCCGAAAACCCTAAACCCCTAAACCCTAAACCGTTCAGAGCTCGGGATCTTTGGCTCCTGCCCATTGCAGCAGCAGGTTGGCCCATGTGGGAGTTTCCAAAAATTGGGGTACCTTCTTTTGGGGGTCCTTATAATAAGGATCTTATTATTTAGGGTACTATATTAGGGGCCCCCTATTTTCGGAAACCCCCATGCCCATGTAGAGACATGACCAGACAAGAGCCGTGGCTTTGGGGTTTAGGAGCTTAGTTCTAGGGCTCCGGGTTTAGGGGTTTAGGGTTTTGGGTTTAGGGTTCAATTCAGGGTTTAGGGTTTCGGGTTTAGGGGTTTAGGCTTAGGGCTTAAAGGGTTTCGGGTTTTAAGGGCGGGTGTTCCGCCGAGCGCCACAAAGTGCAGGGAAGTCCTCCAGTTCAGGATGTCCGACTGCCTTAAACCTCCAAGCCCTGAACGCCGAAACCGCAGGTTATGAACAAGCCGCTTTGTTTTAGTTAGGGTTTACGGTTTAGGGCTTAGGGGTTCAGGGGTTTAGGGGTTTAGGGTTTAAGGCTTAGGTTTTTAGGGG